AAAATTCATAGGACCATCGCTTGGTATTAAATCCTTCATAGAAATTCCATCCTAAAACATAACACCACTTGGATATTTTATCTTTGGTATTTCTCTTTAATCAGCAGGAATTTCAGATGGATCTTCAGCATAAACTACATTATTTTTTATATTTTGAAAACTTTCCATTATAAATATTCCCGAAAAATCAATATCAATAATTTTAGTCCATTGCCATTTCGGACCAGTTTTTCTTGCACCAAATTTTCGTATTAATCTTTTTGCACAAGTAACACGTTGTTGTTCGTTTAATACTGTTAATTTTTCAACCTTTCTGAGTTTAAATGGTTTCAATTTTAGTTCTTCAATTATTCTTCGAACTGATGTTCTTTTACTGTCAATGTTTTTACGCTGTAAATAAGAAACTGCTTTTTGTTGACTTTGATCTTTATTTAAATTTATTAATCTTTTTACTGTTCTTTTGAATTGCTCCGTTCGAATAGTTCTTGGTGTACTACAGTTTTGGTCTATCTTTTACAGTTTCATTTTCTAATATTCGATTTATTTTTCTTCTTAATGTGTCACGACGTAATGGAAGAGGATTTTCAAAAGATTGTAATTCATCGGCGATGTTGGCTACCATCCAGGTGGGATTCATTCTCTTCAAAGAAAGAACGAATGTACGAAACTGTTTCTCTAGAATAAGCGTGTTTGACATCTAGAGTCAATTATATAATGTGTTTAAAGTAATTTTGCAAATGAACTGAGTGCTAAAACTGTAATTGAATTTAGTCCACTAACTTTTTTTTGTTGTGGGAGGGTCACGATTAATTTTTTATTTTTTTGAAGAATATTTCTAAGCTTATAACTTTCTTACTAGATGAGCTAACGAACTCAATCAATAATTATTTTGTAGAGCATCTTTTCATCATAGAGATAAATTTACAACCAGGTGTTTCACTTTAGAAAAATTTATTATTCAAATAGCGTCAGCACTTCTGTCCTGCCCTTTTAAATTTCCATTACAATCTAAGTCAAGTTTTATTAGATTTCGAAAATAAAAAGAAGTATACGTTGAACTCAATAGTTTATTGTTTTATATACTAACTGATTATAAAAATATTAACCGATGTGTGATTAATTAATGATTTATTACTCATAACAGTTAGAGTCAATACATTTATGCATGTATGCACTATTTAGTTACATTGCGGCTACTGGAAATACTGGAAATTTGACTATCGTTATCTTGTGTAAATAAAGGAGTCAAGATAGGTATGTTATCGCTTTGCTATTGTTGCTGCACTATAATAAATGACTTATATTTAATCGAGCAATAATTAAATTTAGCAATAATAATACGGAATGTGCAATAATTTATTTAAATTAAAGGTAAATTTTATATGAAAACGGTGTGAGATCTCAATCCCACCGTACGTATATATGTATCACTTTATGTGTATCTCCTATATCTGCATCCATATAAGAAATGTAATGTTATATATAGAGCGATGACAAGTGCTGGGAAATCCATAGAACTGCATGAAAGAAAGAAGAACAAAAAGAAAGGAAAAGTTCATCAGATACATATGAGAGGAAAGGAAAATGCCCATCATTCCTTAAAATTATACTTGCAAGCACATGATTGGTGTATCCATCAGATTAAAATATTGTAAACTTCTATCAGAGGCAAAAAATGTGGAAATCGAAATAAAAAGAAAAAGTTGTAGACCATCTAAAGCAAAAAAAAGCTTTATTGACACAATAATATACTATGTTTTCATTTTTCTTTTTCTTATTTTCATTGTAACTAACAAGAATGTAGTTTTTCTTTTTTTTTTTTTATTCGTAAAATATGAAATTACTACTGCTATTTAATGAATTAATTATTGCACATTTAGTAATATAAAATTGCTCGAATAAAATTGTTTATTGCTTAAAAATTATTGCTAAATTGTATTTTAATTATTGCTCATTCCAACATTTATATTGCTCAAATATATACTAACGTTAATAAACATCGAAGAATAATGAAATAAATATGTTTATAGTCAAAACCTTGACAAACGATCATAATTTAGAAAAGATTTCCATATAAATACGATAAATGTCAAGATAATATAAAACTCATGTTCTGATATAATATAAAATGTCAATAACATCCAAACTAACGAAGGTGTTACTACAAGTAACTCGCGCCGTTTGAGGTTATATTCGACCCACAGGCAGGTCTCTTAAGGGAAATCTTCTAACTGATAAATCGCTTTTAAGTCGAGACTATGTGCATTATGTAGACCTCAATGAGCTATGAATACTCTGAAAGAGTTCGTGACTTCAGCTTATTGCTACGAAGATACTGCACTTCTTTGATGTGCTTCTATCCTGAAATCTGAACATCAAATCTGTCCGTTTATATAAGTGATATAAAAGACACGCTATTATCATAGTTGTGTTTTAGGATAGAAACATCGACAAGATCTGAAACTTTAATAAAAAGCTATTCTTGTTAAAACCTGCGTCTTTGTAAAGTTTCAAGTCAAAATTTGAGAAACAATTTTTCTGATGTTTCTGAGACTGACTACGGTATTTATTTAGATGATACTGTGAAAGTACAATATCTCCGCAGCAATTAGCTAAGGGCTCGAACGCTTTTCTGAGTATTCATAGTTCATTTGGATCTACATAATGCACATACTCTAGACTCAAAAATGAGTAGATAATTTGAAGACTTTCCTCGTAAGACAAAATCGAAGTGTATATATATTTTTTTTTTGGAAAATATAGTTTCCTTTGCTTAAGAGAACCAAAGTACTGGAAGCTCTGTCAAAAAAGTCTTTCTCTGCCTAGAACAAATTTTGCAATATTTGTCAGAAACTACTAGAGCATCATTTTAAGAAAAAAAAATATATATCCCGATTTGATCTTAGTTGTCACACAAAAAAAGAGATTTCAGCTCAATCGATTGAAGTGTCTGAGAGAGAAAGGGAAAAAGTTTCAATTTTTCTGTTTAAATATTGATTTTGAGAAAAATACGAAACAATGTACAGTTTTCACTAATTTGATTTCTTAACATTTAAAGATAATTTTTTGGATCTCAATGCAAACTCAGTAGATAGATACTAATCCAGACTACCCCCCCCCCCCGGACAAAAAAATCGCCTTTTTGCATTTCATTTTTTCACCACATAATACACTGTATTAAAAAAAAAACATACCACAAGATGCAGCGTGAAAAGAACTACAATCTACAAAAGACAGCTTGTTTTATAGTTGCACTTTTGTTTTCAAAATGGACAAAATTCGAAGGCACTAGTTTTTGACTTTTCGAAAAAAAGAAGTTTTTGGTACAATTACTCGCACAGAATTTTGTTCATTTTGAAAATGAAAACTGCAACTATAAAATAAGCTGTTCGTTGTAAATTGTAGAGCTTTTCACGTTGCATCTTGTGGTGTATTTTGTTGCTTTAATAAAGCATATCAGATGATGAAAAGATGAAAAAAAAAACGAATTGGTCAGGCACTAAAAGTTTCTTTTTTTCGAAAAGTTAAAAACTAGTGCCTTCGAATTTTGCCCATTTTGAAAACAAAAAGTACAACTATAAAACAAGCTGTCTTTTGTAGATTGTAATTCTTTTCACGTTGCATCTTGTGGTATATGTTGTTTTTTTAATACAGTGTATTATGTGGTGAAAAAATGAAATGCAAAAAGGCGATTTTTTTTGTCCGAGGGGGACTATAGAATGGCCACAAAAAAGAAATAGAGTAATGAAAGAGAAGAATGTGTCCTTGAGCGAAATATTATATCTTATTTGTTAAATTATTCACAAGAACGAGTGCAAAAACCTGATAGAAAAAGAATTTTGAAAATGACATATTCTGAATATATTTTTGTCATTGAGCCTAAACAAATAATGTATGTTGTTTCGTTTCAATCAAAGATACAAGTTTGTAAAAAATCCAACGAAGAATCTATTTAAAAAAAAGATTGTCCTGTTATGTGGAAACATTGCTGAGAAATATATATGATACTGAAAAGTTCATTTTTTTATATAGACTACCCGTTCGTATTCAATATGATTTGAAACGAATGTCATAAGATTAATAATATATCCCACAACCATCAGTCATAAAATATTACTACATAAGTGTACTAATTATATCAATACGATACAGCGAATCTTTTTTCGATCTCTTCTTTTACTTTGTCTTATGTAATATTAGTAGCAACATATAAATAATTTTAGTTTTTATCATTTCGCCTATAAATCAATACACATAAATATATAACAGCATTGCCAAGTACTTTTTATTTTACAATATTAAAAATAATTTGATAATGAAAATTCAAGATTAAACGAAATCATGTTAGATAATTATAAGATTAAAACTTGTTTGTTGAATAATCAATGAAAAAAAAAAATAAACAAATACAAATAATAATTAAACAAAAAATAAAAATAAAACTTTCTTCATTAGAAATTCTACTATTTCGCCACGATAGACTTTATATAATTGAAATTATTATTTCTTAACTTATCAATTAGCAATTTTCTCGAATATAAATGACTCAATAAAATATCTATTATTGAAAATATCATATTTTTCGTTAAATATTTTATTTTTTTTTCATATCTTTCAGTTAAACATATACTACTCGTATAATTCAAATTAAGAAATAGAATCTCTTCAAGTGTCAAACTGTTGTTTCGACCAAGACGATGTATATTTGACGAGTACTAGTAAGTAATAGAAAAGTCTAGAATGGTTTGATTTTCCGAGCCTTTGTTCTCTGAGATATCGAAATTTTACTAGACTTTTCAAGAAAAAGCTGTAGTTCTCCTTCAGGTCACATGGAAGATCGACACTTTCGACTTCAAAATTTGCATGACCAAAGTTCTCATCGATGAGCGAACTACTCGAACTGATGTCCACTGTTTCAGCTCACAATGAGGGCACGATGAGGCTAGAAAAATCTTAAAAAAATTCGTATCCATAATTTTCTAAAGTCGAATTATGATCGTTTTATTGAATATTCGATCGAGCTTTAGGTATTTACTGGGCAATCGAATAATGGAATTTCGACCTGAAATTTAGCTCATAGATATGTCTGATGATTTTGGAAATATTATAAAAGTTTCAACCGAAAAAAATATTCCTTTGTCGAGATATTGAATTTTCAAAAAAATAGTCATTTGCAATAAAAATCAAGTTTACTTAAAAATTTAATATCTCAAAAAAAAGAAGCATTCTTTTCGGCTGAAACTTTCAGGATATTCCTAGATTCATTAGACCTATCTATAGACAAAATTTCAGAACGAAATTCTGTTATCTGATCTTTCGATAAATACCTAAAACTGTATCGAAAATTCAGCAAAGCAATTTATAATTAAGTTCCAGAGGCACAAACCCTTTTAAAATTTTTCTAGTCTTCTCGAAACTTCCTTGTAAACTCGATATGAGTTCAAACGGTGGATATTAGTTCGAGCAGTTCTCTCCTGAGATTAGTTCATTGAACAAGTTGTAAATTTTCTAGTATCTTCTATCCTGAAATTCTCTCAATTGTAAAAACAAATCAAGAAAGAAAATACTACTCGCACAACCAACTAATCTTATTAAGAGCTTTGGTCATACAAAGTTTGCAGTCAAAAATCGATTTTTCATGTGACCTAACGGGATCATAGCTTTCTGTTTAAAAGACTAATTAATAAAATTTCGATATCTCGAGAACGAAGACTCGAAAAACTAAACCATTCTAGAATTTTCTATTACTCACTGTTACTCATCAAATTAACATCGTCTCGATCGAAAAATGATTGAATACCTGAAGAAATTCTCTAGTTAGTAAAATAAAATACAAGAATAAGAAAAAAGAAACAATTTACGTTCATATGAATAAATTAATTGTTATTTAAATAGAATTATTAAGATGAAAATATAAATAATAAAAGATTGTTATGTTATAAATAGATGTATTATGTTTTATGAAGAAAAACCAAAAAAAGAATCAATTAATTAATTAAACAAAGTAATAATATTGAAATGAAAATATCCAAATATACTTAATTTTCTTTTTCTATTGTTTAAATAAAATTTTAAAGTACCAAGAAAAAGAATTACGAATTTTAAAATTATAATATCATATTTATATAGATTTGGTTTGATAAAAAAAAGGCATATATCGATCCGATATATAATTATTATCGATTTAAGACTATAATCTAATATCATCGTCATCATCATCACCAATGGGCCGATTAACATCTTTTAAATCATAAGAATCATCGAATAAACTTGTTTCTTCTTTTTGTATATTTCGATGTTTAATTTCAGTTTCTCTTGTTTCAATATCATTTCCATCTTGATTATTTTTAATAGATGATGTTTTAGATTTATCTAATTTTGTAGTTTTTGTCTTACTAAATTCTTTTACAGCTATAGAACGTCTTTGTTCATCCATATGTTTTGATCGAATTATTATATATAAAAGTATAGACCATAAACCTTCTAATCCATTACAAATAATAAAAAACCATGCCAAAACATATCCAGCTTCTGGACTAGCAATTGTTAAAAATGGACCAAAAAGCCAACCAATACCTTGAGTTGCACATGATGAAAGTAAAATAAGTACACATCGTTTCATTCGTTCATATGTTTGATGTGGTGATGTTGCATGTCGAACATGATTTATTATACGTTGACTTACACGAATAAATATAAATATATTGATTAAAAGAAATAGACAAACAGGTATTGTCAGAAAATAATAAATAACTCGACGTGTAAACCAACAAAGTTTATATGGATATAATTGAGTAATTTGAAATGATGAATTTGAATTAAATCCAGCTGCAAAAGCAACCCATGTAATCGAAATCAAAAATGATACACCAAGCATAATAAATAGTTTTCGAAGTGATGGTTGTGGAAATAAATGAACAAAACGAAGATAATTAAAGTATCCAACACTAGTCTTAGCACAAAACATAAAAATTAAAAAGAAATAAGTGAAAAACATTAATACACTTGAACTTAAAAAACATTGATTTTCATTTATAGATGATGTTCTTGTATAAACTGTCATTCCCATAGCTATATAAAAAATAAATAGAATTGTTGTACTTGCAGAAGATATTAAAGGAAATAAATCATATGCTTGAAAACCCATAATTGGACTATGAATTCGTATAATACTAGCATGAATAATAATAATTAAAAAGCATATAATTGATATTGATAGACAAACAAGTGATCCAATATCTTGTGCATCAAGATTGGATGTAAGTAGTATTCTGGGTAACCAAATAAGAGCAAACGAAGTTAAATGATTACAATTACATTCATATCGATTAAATCGAACATTATATTGAGGTATAGTACAACCAGATTCATTCCATTTTGAATTAGTTGTATCATAAAATGAACAAAGATATTCGGCACTACCATTTGGTTGATATTCTGGTAAAATTTGAAAATAAAGAGAAATAGTAATTGGTGTTGATAAAGAACTATTTCTTCGCACAGCCACAACAATCACTGATGATGCAAGCATTTTATTAGTTGAATTATCTAATTTTTCATATGTAGTAGGTTTATTAATAATGAGCATATTCAGAGATGTAACACCAATTAAAGATTGATTGCTAATGATAGCTGCTGCAGATGAAAATGAGTTGGTCACATTATCTACATTTGAAGTATTGACAACTTGACCACCAATACCACGATTAAATGAAGCACCTAAAACAATTACATTACCTCCTTGATTCGGTTGTTGGGCCATAAGAAATGAATCATTAGTGTTTATTGTTAAATTTACATTGCTTATATTGCTAAGATAGGTATCAATTTCATTCGCAGTGAGTGTATATGTTGAATTTAATGTTGTATTCGAATTCGTAATTGAACTTATATATAATGAAAGAGCATTAGCAATAACAGTCGAATTTGCAGTATTACTACGCAATATGTTAACTGTCAATATCTAAACAAATTATATACAAAATGAAAACAAAAACTAGAGTTCTTTTAAACAGACTTGACCATCCGATTTGGAAATACAAGTACCATTGGGCAATTGTACTTCAATAGAACTATTACATGAAACGAAATATGGTGACCAAATCAGAGCAAAAGTAGACAAATGATTACAACTACATTCATAACGATTAAATGAAGTATTATACTGAGGTGTAGTACAACCGGATTCATTCCATTTCGAACCATTTATATCATAATAGGTGCATAAATATCTTGAAGTAACAGTTGGCACATATTCATTTAGAACTTGAAAATATAGTAAAATATTCATTGGGTTTGATACAGAACTATTTCTTTTCACAGCCATCACAATGACTGATGATGCAAGGTGTCTATCCCTCGAATTATCTATATTTTCATATGTAGTAGGCATATCAATGATCAGTATATTAAGAGATGTGACATTAACTAATGATTCATTAGAGAGAAAAGCTGCAGTTGTTAGATTTGAATTGAGTGTATTATTAAGATTGGAAATACCTAAAATTTGACCACCGATATCATGCGTGAATGAACCACCGATAACAGTTCCATTTGCAATTTGATCTGCTTGTTGGGCCATGATAAATGACGTGTTAGTGTTAAGAATCAAAGTTAAATTGTCGAGACTATCAATATATTCATCAATCTCACTAGCTGATAAAATATAGTTCGGATTCGATGATATATTCGAATTTGCAATTGAACTTAAATATAATGAGAGAGCATAAATTATTGCAGTCGCATTCATCGTCCTGTTACGTAAGATATTAACCGTTTCTATCTGTATGAGAAAACACTGAATTTAGACAAAAAAAACTTATTCTTTTCCATCATACCTGAGCATTAGTTTTCGGCACACAAGTACCATTAGGTAACTGTATTTCAACTGAACCATTACAAGTGACAGGAATTGCACTAGTAGTACTCATTGTTGTTACAGCAACAGTGATTATAGTAGGAGTGGTTGTTGTTATAGAAACAGGCATTGTTGTAAAAGTAGTTACAGCTGTAGAAGCACTTACCGTTGTAGTAGCTTCTGTTGTCATAGAGCTATTTGTTATTATTAAAGTACTCGTGATATTAGAAGTCTCTGTTGTTGTCGAGAGCTCCGTTATTATGAAAGTAGTTGTTGTAGTAGAAATACTCGTCGTTGTAGGCTGAGTTATTGATGTAGGAGTTTCTGTTGCTTGAGAAGTTAATAATGGTGTACTAGTTTCCAATTCTGAAAAAGTAGTTATCGCAGTAGCAGTCTCCGTTGTTGATGCAGCAGTTACTATTGTAGTATTTTCTGTTGTTGTCGAGAGCTCCGTTATTATGAAAGTAGCTGTTGTAGTAGAAATACTCGTCGTTGTAGATCCCGCTATTGATGTAGGAGTTTCTGTTGCTTGAGAAGTTAATAATGGTGTACTAGTTTCCATTTCTGAAAACGTAGCTATTGTAGTAGCAGTCTCCGTTGTTGATGCAGCAGTTACTATTGTAGTATTTTCTGTTGGTGTCGAGATCTCCGTTATTATGAAAGTAGCTGTTGTAGTAGAAATACTCGTCGTTGTAGGCTGAGTTATTGATGTAGGAGTTTCTGTCGCTTGAGAGGTTAATAATGGTGTACTAGTTTCCAATTCTGAAAACGTAGCTATTGTAGTAGCAGTCTCCGTTGTTGATGCAGCAGTTACTATTGTAGTATTTTCTGTTGGTGTCGAGTTCTCCGTTATTATGAAAGTAGCTGTTGTAGTAGAAATACTCGTCGTTGTAGGCTGACTTATTGATGTAGGAGTTTCTGTTGCTTGAGAAGTTAATAATGGTGTACTAGTTTCCATTTCTGAAAAAGTAGTTATCGCAGTAGCAGTCTCCGTTGTTGATGCAG